CCTTTTGCCCTCCTCCCTCCTCCCTTCCCTTCTGGTAACCACCAATCCAATCTCTGTCTCTATGTGTTTGTTTGTTGTTGTTATTATCTACTACTTAATGAAGGAGATCATACGGTATCTCTCTGCCATCTCTCTCTTGCTCTCTGTGTTCAAGCATCACAAAAAGAGTTACTGCTTTTTTAAGGCCTAATGCTCTTTCACGCCTCTCTGCTTTTGTTCACACAACTCTGTCTCCCTGAACATCCCTCCAATCTCCCTCCTCAACCCCCAGGGTCTCTCATTCAATTGATAAACACCTATTCAGATTTCAACATCCAGCTCATGTCAATTCTTCTACCACAATAATTATTATTATACTAATTATAATACTTACCCCGCCCCCCCGCACCCTGGGAGTTCCCTTAATGAAGAGAATTGTTTCTCTAGTACTTGGGATTTTAAGTCTGGCCTCCACCTTTTTTTTTTTTTTTTTTTTTTTTTGGTGAGGAAGCTTGGCCCTGGGCTAACATCTGTGCCAATCCTCCTCTGTTTTGTATGTGCGATGCCACCACAGCATGGCTTGATGAGCAGTGTGTATGTCCATGCCTGGGATCCAAACCTGCAAACCCCGGGCTGCCGAAGTGGAGCTCGCGAACCCAACAACTACTCTGTCAGGCCGGCCCTTGGCCTCCACTTTTATAGGAGCCCAGTATTGAGCCCTGAGTGATTCTCTGAGGCTTGGATTAGAGTGGTCTTTCCTGGGACTAAGAAGAAATGTCACTTGAGAAGATGGTGCATGAACATGTGAACTCTGACTGCAGGAATGTACAGAGGTACAAACGTCCTCTTTTCTCTTTGAAAATGTAAATCTCAGGTATGCTTCTCAGATGGCAAATGAAACTGTATTCTTCTGATCTGGCCACATTTTTGGGTATTAACTAATCCCCTTTATTTTCCATGATCCCACCTTTTTTCACCTCACCTATACAATGCCCAAGAACCACATAATAATAACAACAATTGCTGCTGTTAAGTAAGCATTACATTCTATATACTAAGTATTTTATATGCATTATTTCATTTTATTCCCACAATGGCTCAATTATTCTCGTTTTACAAATGAGGAAACTGAGGCACAAATGAGTTTCTACTAATCTTTAAATTTGGCTCTGACAGATAATCTGGGTTATCCCAACAGCAGTATTTAGTAGTTTAAATATGAATCCTAGGCTACCACGCAGATATTTTAGAGAGGGTCTTGCATAGTTCTTCAGCCTTCCTTCCAAACCTCACTGCTGGCACATCTCTGACCACAGCAATAAAAGAGCTCTGAGCAGGTGGTGTATTTGCACCTATGGAGAAAAAGAGAGGAGGCAGATGGATGAGGCTTTCTCCCTGATTCCCATTGCCCTTTTCTTGTGCTCCATGCTGTACAGAGCTACATGAAGTAACCACTACCCCTTGGTGCCCCCTCTGTCCCATACACAAAGCAAGACAGACATCTCAAACATTTCTTTTGAGGAACAAAAACGTTGTCGTGAACTTTAGCTCTGTGAAAAAAGATTATACAGGATTAGCAGAGAAACTCATCTGTTGCAGTTTGCAGAAGGAGTATGCATTTTTATTCTGGAAAGGTATTTATTATTTCTACACTTTATATCCCTAAATTAGATCTATTAAATGGAATGTTTTGGAAAAATCTTTCCTTCTGACCTTTTGAAGTCTATATCAAAATGAGAGGACACTCTGAAGGAAAGCACATTCTATTTTGACTCCCCCCACTCACCGCCCCACAGGAATCTGAGAGTGGGAAACTGTCTGGTGGCTGCACATATCAACAGAAGAAAAATCCAAACTTGACAAGCTGAATTAATACATGAGGTGACTGAAAAAAGAAAGGATTGTGGTAATAAGAAAAATGTAGCAATTATTTAGTTAATTCCTAGATAAACTACATCAGCAATGATGATTCACATAAAATAACAGAAATTCATATGCTATCAATCATTAAAAATAATCACTTCCCCTGCAAAAGACCAGTGGCCTAGAATTGACTAGCTTTCTAGACATTGATGCTCACTTGCACAAACATACCTACAAAGGGTTAACATTTTCGGAAAGAAAATTCTTGCTTTTCAAAATTTTTCCTTCTGGGATGAGAGAATTCTTTTTAAAATTAGAAATAATTGATACGTGTTTCTTATTAAGAATTAATGCTTTCTCATTTTTAAAAAATCTAACTATATAGATAAAAATTAGCCACAGAGATAATCACTGTTAGTAGCCTGGGGTAAGATTATAGATATAAATAGAAACACAGATACATATATATACTCTTTTTTAATCTCTTTATCCGTATCCATAGTTCTTTCTCTTTTCATCTATTATCTATTGGATATATCTTTCACCACCCGGTGGTACATATCTTTTAATATTAAAAATATTTTGACCCCAAACTCCCATTTGATTTACTAGAAAATATTCTTTTTCCTTTGTTGAGTCCTCCTTTCCTACGACAAATCTCAAATACTCAGGGCTTTAAGCAAGCCAAAATATTACACCTGATTACCCTTGCCCAGTGGGGGGAAATATTGGAAAATCTGATAAGACCACTGGCCCACTTTCTGCAGCTGTTGTTGCTACATTATTTATCAATTGGTCCACATGAAAAAAGATGGTTCAGTAGCCTGGTGCAGACTCCTGTCCACTTTAAAGAGTTTCTAAGTGATCTATGCACAAGCCATCTGTTAAGGGAAGAGAAAGAAAAAGGAAGCCTCTTCCCATAGTGTTACACTCATCTATATCTGCACAGCAGACCAAGTCTCAAACACATCTTTATTTCTTTTGGCATATCCATGGACCCAGGAGGGATCAGGAGAAATCCAGCAGGAGGAGCATGCCATACCAGGAACCAGTCCTGTCCTTTCTTAAATTAAGCTATCCTGTGTAGTTGGAGTCACAGTTCAAACTCCTTCTCAACAAAAATGAATATCCTTGCATGGGGGAGAGGGTGGTAGTGGGGCCAACGGTGCTTCTTGATTGATGACGTTAGTAAGTGAGACTTAAGTGCATAACGTATATCGTGATAACTTTGAACTTCTTAGAAAAAGGGTCTAGTACTTGATTCCCTTCCTCTCAGAAGGCCCATTCGCCAACTGCCTATTCACAAAAAATCCCAAGCTCTATGTACAAATATGAATGAGATTCAGTTGGCACAGCTCCATTTTCCTGAAAAGATGAAACCCTGAGACCATTGCCACGTCCCAAATTTCCAGTTATAGCCTTCTCTCTGAATAATGGATCCCTACTTACTCAACATTCATTACCGCTGAAATGATCACTCCCATAACAAAAAAATCTACTTGTGTTTCTTGATGTCTTAAAAATTTGAAATATTTGTGGATAATAATTTGCAATTGTCTCACTGGGTATGCTAATATCCTATTAAAAGCCTATAAAGCCCTAACCCTGAATGTGACTGTATTTGGAGATACAGCATTTAGGAAGTAATTAAGGTTAAATGAGGTCATAAGGATAGAGTCCTAATCCCATAGAACTGGTGGCTTTATAGGAAGAGGAGGATCTCTCTCTCTTTCTCTCTCTCTCTCCCCACATGCACACACCAAGGAAAGGTTGTATGAGTGCACAGTGAAAAGGTGGCCATCTGCAAGCCAGG